AAATTTTCTGGGAAACTAGGGTCACTCATCTGAGATGTCTTGAGTGCCGCTGTATGCAGGTTCCTGTGTGTTTGTGTGCATGCCTGTGACAAAGGCCCAGCCACTGGGAGGCTGCTCGGCATGTGGCAACTCCTGGGCAAGGACCGTGGATGACAGTTCCGCTGGGATAGGCTGCATATGGGCTGAGCTCGGCACTCGCCTGGAGGTTCTTTTAAAAACAAGAATCCAGACACAAGCCGGTTTCCTGTCATCTGCCCCTTGAAAGGCTAGCACAGGGAGCAGAGCTTCTAGAGATAATCAGAGTTTACCCTCGGCCGTCCTTCTGTGAGGTCCGCATTTACCTTGGGGAACTGCCAGTTCCCACACCTATAAAGTGGAATCTAACCTCCAAGTGGCTGTGGAGACGATTAGAAATAAAGGTGTAAAGAACTCTGCAGAGTAGTCATTTAGCAATTGGTAGCTATTTATAATTATTAGTTTCTTAGACAGTAGACAAATGCAGAAGAAATTTGAGTTGATACCCAGTTAATTTACACCAACAATTCTGCTTACAGGTGCATTAAATTTGGGGGAATTTCTAGCCTCTTCTCCCAAGCAGTAAACAAGCTGGTAAAGCCTCTGAACAGGGCGGGGGCTGTAGGCTTGTCCCTGCCTTCCAAGCTGGCTCTGGGCAAGCCCCAGGTTCCCAGGGGACCCTGGCTTGCCCTCTGCTGATATTCTCCCTGCCTCTCTCCCCTTTTCCAACTCTGCAGAAATACACTCCAAGACACGTTTGCTAAAAGCCCAGCAGTTTTCACAAGGGGGACACTCAAGTTTAAAGTGGGTTGGGGACTCATTCAAGGGCCCAGCAGCACCAGGAGTGGCATGGCAGGTGGGAAACACCTTTCTCTAGCTATCCCGGAGTCCAGTCCTTAAGTTAGGTCTTCCCCGTGCTGCCTCCACTATACTCAGTGCATCTCCTCCAAGAGCTGCCGACCTGGAGCACACGGCCGAGGCCAGGCGGGAATGCACGACGGCTGCCTGGACTCTGCTGTGAGCATCAGCTGTGCTGAGATGGAGGTGAGAGAAATGTGAGTCCTTCCTCACCCCACGTAGCCTCTCCTCCAAATAATTAAGCTTCAGAGTCCTCCCTCATGGGTTGTGGTGCTGACACCACAGCGACCCACCACAGGCCTGGCACAACTCTGCCACCCCTCAGCTGAGGCTGCAGGGGCATTGCTGAGGAGGGAAGGGAATGCAGGAGGTGGGGCCCTCTTCCCCGTTGGAAACGGCTGGACAGGAGCCTTGCTCGGGCCTGAGTGAGGCCGGGGCACCCTGGCAGCCTGAGCTCACAGGCGACCAGCTCCCTTCCCTGCCTTGCTGGCTGTCCTCGTCTCACTCACTGGATTTGGGTAACTCCAGTGGCACCAGCATCGCCAACGGATCTGATGCAGGACTTCGAGCTAAAAGTTCCTAGCCCAGCCTCCTGGTTTCTGTGGACACCAGAGCATTGTCCGCAGCCTGGGCGATACACTGCCGAATGCAGAAGGCCCTGGAGATCAGGTGAAGTCATAGAGCTCGTTCTGCTACAGCCCTTGGTGCAGATGGCATCTCATCACACAGAGCTGCAGGGACCTGTCCACAGGAATGTCCCCTCCTATCTCGTTTCTCAAGGGCAACTGCCATGCTTTATCACCCAGCACATGGCAGGCATTCATGAAGTTAAACAAAACGGACCCACGGGCCAGATCTGGTCTACAGGTGGGTTTTATTTTGCTTGCAGAATATGTAAAGGATTTTTTTGTTGTTGAAATCAGGCGATTCATACATAAACCTGGACTCCTTGCCTTCTCCAGAGAACTTTGGAGGTGGGGTCCAGGGCCCGTATTCCTCCTGCTCGGTGACAATCTGCTAGCGCTCAGGAGAGGCTGTTCTCTTTAGACACGTGCTCTCCACTCCGCCAGTCTCCATCCTTCCCTCTGCTCTCACACCCCAATCACTTCCACGTCACTCGCTGATTTCACCTACCTGGTCCCCGTGGGCAGCTGAGCAGCTCCTGTTGGTAACTTGAGCAGTGATGGGAGTCAAGGTCTCCATCGGGCTCCCCAGAGTTCTCGGTACCTGCTGGCTGAAGAGGCATCTGGGGCTGGTCACACAGAATGTACTGTGCACAGTAAGGCCCTCTGGAGAGAAATCGCTGCCTATAAAGAGGTCCTCCAATAACCCAGCTGTTCCATGGGTGGCCAATGGCAGTGATGTTTGGTTGATTTGGCTGTAATCAATTCTCATTCTTTGGCCCATCCTCTTGGTGAAAATAGGCAATGATGTGCAGAGAGAGAGGTGGCATCGGCTTTATCAAGCCACTGTCACCAAGAAAAACCCCTCTGGCTTTCCCCATTCAAATATTCCCGTCATCATTACCTGGACACTGACCCAGACATCCAACACCACAGAGAAAGACGGTGGTGGAGGTGGCAAGGAGGCATCACCCGGCAGAGGCACAGAATGGTACAAGCCTGAAGTGTGAAACCATCCTGGGGGAGGGGGGCGGTTAGGAAAGGCCTGAAGCTGGGGGTGTGGCGGAAGGCACAGCTGGAAGGGGGCAGCTGTGAAATTAAAGCAGTGAGCTGTGAGAGAGCCTGAGGATGATCCGCTGCAACACTGAAAACTGTTCAGAGCCCAGGTACACAAGCACCATCCTGACTTTTAATATATATATACTTTTATCCTCACTCGAGGACATTTTTCCATTTTTTTATTCAGATAGAGCGGGAGGGAGAGAGAGGAAGAGAAAGAAACATCAACGTGAAAGGAACACATCGAGTGGCCGCCACCCGTATGACCTAACCAGGGCCGGGGGGGAAAAACTGCAGTCAAGATACGTGCCCCGCCCTGGCCAGTTTGACTCAGCGGTTAGAGTGTCGCCCTGCTGTCCGAAGAGACCCGGGTTCGGTTCCCGCTAAGGGCATGTACCTCAGTTGCAGTTTGTCCCCGGCCCTGGTTGGTCGTGCGGGTGGCAGCCACTCGATGTGTCCCTTCACATCGATGTTTCTCTCTCTCTCTGTTCTTCTCTCTCCCTCCCACTCTACCTGAACAAAAAATGGAAAAAAAATAATAATAAAATAAAATAAAATTTATTGATTGGCCCTGGCCAGTTTGGCTTAGCAGTTAGAGCGTCGGCCTGTGGTCCAGAGAGACCCGGGTTCGGTTCCCGCTAAGGGCACGTACCTCGGTTGCAGTCTGTCCCCGGCCCTGGTTGGTCATGCGGGTGGCAGCCACTCGATGTGTCCCTTTCACGTTGATGTTTCTCTCTCTCCCTCCCACTCTACCTGAACAAAATATGGAAAAATGTCCTCGGGTGAGGATAAAAAATAAATAAATAAATAAATTTATTGATTTTTGAGAGAGAGATCGATTTTGTTGTTGCACTTATTTATGCCTTCATTGGTTGATTCTTGTATGTGCCCTGACAGGGGATGGCACCTGAAACCTTGGTGCATCCGGATGACGCTCTAACCAACTGAGCTACCCGGCCAGGGCTGCACTCATCCTGACTTAGTGTGGGATGCAATGAACCCCTAGAAAAAGAACTCCAGCGTAGAGGCTGTCAAACCATGTTCAGGATTCTTCAAACTAGATCCCCCTTCCAGGTTAGCATTTTATAAAATCGACTTAATGGAGCTGCTCTGGTGACGGTGGATGGGCAGCAGTCCCTGGCCCTGTCCTTACAGGGCACCACACCAAGGAGCACAGGTCAAAGGCCGCCGAGCTTGAGTACAAGCACCTTTTACACAGCACATGCCACCCCGAAACAGAGCTCCTAGAGACTAAGTGCTCCTTCAGAGACGAACAGTTCCACTTCCTGTTGGCACATTTGTAACTATTTATTGAATGAGGCAGTAATAGACAGAATGGAAAACAACACAGAATCCATGCTCTGCTACTTGGGTTTTGCTTTTCTTCGTCATCTTGGTAATTTCTCAAACTATTAGGAGGTTATTTCACCACAAAGGATCACGGACTTTAAAGTCCCCGGACAGCTTCACAATGACGATAAAAAATAATAATTAAAAAAATAACAAATTATAGAACTAGGACTGTTTATATGTAAATTTCCCTCCCCTCCCCCCATTACGTACAGAAAAAAAACATACAAAGAACATTGGATAATTTTATATAAAACAAGCAAATACAAGAATCTGAAACTTTTCTCAAAGGCTGAGCAAGACATGAATAATCTTTTAATGTCGCATTAAAAAAACACATTAAATACACTATCACACTTGGGGGGCCCGGGAGGAGAGAGGAAGAGTTGTCCCTGTACTCAAGGAGCAGAGATTTGGCCTGTCGAAAAGTCAGGTAAATTTAGCCACTGGAGACTCAGGGTTTGCAGCTGAGAAATCACGGACTTGAGGTTACAAGAACGCCCAGTCCAATGGACACCAGCGAGGAGGAAGCTGTGAGGGGCCCAGGCCCACGGGGATGCACCTGGGAAGCGGCAGGGCCTGAGCCCAGAGCGCAGGACACACCTTCAGTGCTTTTCTCTTCTCGTGCCCGAGCCCCGCGCAGCCTTCCGGGGCCAGGTGCCCTGTCTGTCCCAGTCTCCTCCCTGCAGAGCTAGAGAGCTTCAGGGAGCGGGGAACTGCTCCCACTGGTATGCCCTGGTCGTTGCCGTTTTTCTCTCCCTCCTTCCTTTCCCCTTCCAACCCCTCCCACTCCCCCTCCCACTCTCTCCCCCTCCACACACCCACACACACACTTAATGCGCACACACTCCTCAAACCCTTAATACTTCTGTTGCCTTCAGTTCACATACATGACCGATTTAGGACTGACCTTAAAACCAAAGCAGTGTTTTAACAGTTAGGAGATCAAGAGGTTTCCTGGGAAAGGGTGGGAGGCGAGGAAAACCCTCTTGTCCCTGCCTGGGAGCTTTAGGGACGTTCGCCCGCCTGCCCGCCTGCCGGGGCAAGGCCAGCACTGGGCCGGCCGGAGGAGCCCCTCAGCTGCCGGACCACGAGGCCCCTGGACTTTGGAAGCACATTTCGGGGCCCTACCAGTTCTGGAACTCCCTTTCTCAGGTGAGCCCGGCAGGGAGAGCTCTGGGTGGCCACTGGGAGGCAGCTTTGGTGAAGGTCACGGTCACCTCCACCTGAGTTTGTCAGTAGCTCAACGCATGACCCTGGTATGAACAAAAATAGGTGACTGTGTCTGGCCACGTACCCTACACCCACTAAACTGGGTGAATTATTTTTTCCCACAGCGCACCTTAATTTCATACAGATAATTCCATGCGGGTTTCATATATATATGTATATATATATATGTACACACATATATACTTTATATATATGTAAATGTGTATATCCATATGTACACATATACATATATTCACATTCACACATACACACAAGTATACACACATGTTTTCGCAGAAAGAAGTCCTGCCACATTTGGCTTTTCAGGGACAGTGAAACTGACAACACAGTTATCTTACTCCACCAATCCCAGGAAATCAAGAGTGGTGCTTTAAAAAATGCAATTCCAAAATCCGCCGCCTTTCTTCCTTTTTAAAAAAAGGGTTAACAATACTTTTCTTCCAAAGCCGAGAGACTTAATTCCATTTGATTGCACCTCTGCAAATGTGTAAAAATTTTTGAAGTAGACTAGAAAACGATGCCATGATATGGCTGCATGTCACTGTTCCAACGTCACCACTTCCACAGCCTGGCCGTCCATGGTGACTGTGCTGTCTGATATTCTGGTGGTCACAGGGGCCATGGCCACCTGCACCGGCCCGTTGCCTTGGGCGAGGCTGGTTACCACAGTCTGGTACATGCTCACAGGGATCTGGACCAATCCTGGGGAGAGAAAAGGGACACTGTTGGTGGGGATCGGCCTCAGCTTCCAGATGCTGGCTGGACACGGCAACCGGCTCCATTCCTCAGGGAACTACTGTCACCTCAAGTCCACCCACTGTCCAGGCACAAATACATCCCCTTTTTCACCCCATTTTAATCTTTAAAACAGACTAGCAGGAAGGAAAAGTTGGAAGAAATTGTGGAAACACGCCTCACAACCTGTCTGCCTCCAACTTTAGGAAGCACAGTGACCAGGTATGAAGACACCCCCTTCCCACAAGTCCACCCCTGACCGCCTCAGTCCTCCCTTGGGAAAGGCCCCATTCATTTCTTCATATTCTGTCCACCAACTTCGTCAGCCATCTTTTTGCCAGTGTTCAGGCTCCCCTCAGCTTGACAAAACATTTCCCCCAGCCCTACCCTGTCTTCTGGCCACTCTCTCCATTCAAGTCAGCTTATTAAAAACAAAAAGCCGCCCTGGCTCAGTGGTTAGAGCATCGGCCTGCGGTCCAGAGAGACCAGGGTTCGGTTCCTGCTAAGGGCATGTGCCTTGGTTGCGCAGTTTGTCCCTGGCCCTGGTTGGGTTGTGCGGGTGGCAGCCACTCAATGTGTCCCTTTCACGTTGATGTTTCTCTCTCCCTCCCTCCCTCCCACTCTATCTGAACAAAAAATGGAAAAAATGTCCTCGGGTGAGGATAAAACAAAAACAAAAAAAGCCCCCAAAGCCTAGGTCATTAGTTTTCTGATTTTAGATTTCACAGACCAGTAAAATTTTAAATACATTTTGAGGTCAGCTTAAAAAAAAGAGACCACTCACTACCTTCTAATACTACTATTACTTCACAGTGGAAAGGCTGGTTTTAACACAGAGAAGGGAAGAAACACGTCATCTCAGAAAACGCCAGTGCTTCCTGGAAGGGAAAGTTGATCATTTTATCTGACATTAAACAATGGATGTCCATTAAATAAGGCAGAATAGCCCTGGCCGGTTTGGCTCAGTGGTTAGAGTGTCGGCCTGGGGTCCAGAGAGACCCGGGTTCGGTTCCTGCTAAGGGCACGTACCTCGGTTGCAGTTTGTCCCCGGCCCTGGTTGGGACGTGCAGGTGGCAACCACTTGATATGTCCCTTTCACATTGATGTTTCTCTCTCTCTCTACCTCCCACTCTATCTGAACAAAAAAATGGAGAAATGTCTTCGGGTGAGGAAATAAATAAATAAATAAATAAATAAATAAATAAATCAGAATCAATACATGTATCAAATCCCCGTGTCCTAAAACTAAAACCACAGTGAAGGGGACAGGAGGCTGTCAATGTGTTTTGAAAGATGCAGAGCCAAGTGGCTCTGCCCTATCAGAGGAGATGGTGGCCCCAGTGCCCAGGGAGGGCTCAGCACTTGGGGGCCCAGCTCTGCAGAAGCAGGGAAGAGGCGGAAACAGGCATCAGCTGACAGTCTGTCTTCAACCAACCGAACCAGTGGGCCACAGCAACCCTGACACCCAGACTGTTGTTGACAGGCCCTCCGACATTCATCCACTGTGTTGAGAAGATGACCTGCAGAGGCCCAAGAAAAGACCTACAGTGATGTGTGGCAGGTGGGTGGAAGAGACAATGAAAAGCCTGGCCTGCCATCCTAACTCTTACCCTGAGGACGACTGGTCACCCAGCTTGTGTCCTGCTCTTAAGGGATACAGAGAGCAGAGACAGTGTGGGGAGCCGAAGAAAACAAAAACAAATGCCCCCAAACTCTAGTATCTTCAAAGAGAGAAGAGATTTGTATCATAAAAATGAGATGCTTTTATTTAAAAGGAATATGAGAAAAAATTTTAAGAAATCATATAGATGAAATACATTCTGAAAACATATATGAAGATAAAGTCAATGAAATCTTCCAGAGTAAAAAAGACTGAAAGAAGGAAAGTAGGAGAGAAAATGAGACTTAAGACATCCAACCTCTGATAAAAGGATCAGATATACTGTAAATACCTGTAACGGAAAAACATGAGTTTCAGCCTGAAAAGACCCACTAGATGTTCGTACAATAGACGCAACGATTCCAAAAGATGGCAACCACAATGTTGTGGGGCCTCTCAAAATTGAGCCTGGAGGCTAGATGTTGAAAAATGCCTTCCGATGTCTGAGGGAAAGTCCAGAATTCTCTATCCAGTTCATGAAAAATGACATCTATTGTCAATTAAGTGGGGGGCACAATAAAGGCATCTTTAGAGGTGTAAGGGCTCTATGAATTGGCCACCCATGCACTGCTTCTTGGGATGTTCAGAAGGGTGCACAGAAAACAAAGAAAGAAGTGGCCACAGCATCTAGGAGACAGAACCCATTGTAGCAGCTGTGGGGCAGGACGAGGGGCCAAGGATGAGGGCTGTGCAGCAAATCTGAGAGAACAGAGCAGGAAAAATAGCATGAACCCGTGAGAAAGAGCACTGAAAGGGGTTTTCCAGAACTGAGTAGAACTGGTGATTGCTACTTAAAAAGTAGAAGGAAAAAATCAAGTCTTAACCATAATAATGATAATAACTCATCTTGGCAGTGAACAATTTTTATGTGTTTATATATAAACAGAGAAACTGAGTTATCAAAAATTGTGATAATGTTTCAACTCAAGAAATGATGATATAAGACTGTTATTTAGAGCAATAAAGATACATACCAGAAAAAAGAGCACGAAGTATTACCCCTGGAGTAGTCTTTTTTTTTTTTTTTTTTAATCCTCACCCGAGGACATTTTTCCATTTTTTGTTCAGATAAAGCGGGAGGGGGAGAGAGGGAGAGAGAGGAAGAGAGAAAGAGAGAAACATCGATGTGAAGGGACACATCGAGTGGTTGCCACCCGCACGACCAACCAGGGCCGGGGACAAACTGCAACCGAGGTACGTGCCCTTAGCGGGAACCGAACCCGGGTCTCTCTGTACCGCAGGCCGACGCTCCAACCGCTGAGCCAAACCGGCCAGGGCTCTTTTTTTTTTTTAAAGGCCTTCTAGTCCTTTTTAATATTTAAAACCATATTATCACTTTGATAAAATGAAAAATTAATTTAAAAATGTTTTATCAGAATATTTTCTAATGTAAAAAATCAAACACAAAATAAAATGTTATTTTACAATGTTAAATTGGATCGACCTTGTTTTCTAGGGGTAGGTGTTGCCAGTTTAGAAGTATTTGATGACGCAATGTGAAATGATGACAATCATCTCTGGAAATCCAGGCCCGTCCTGGTGTGCTGACAGGAGGGAAGCCATGGTCCACCATCCCAGGACACTTGAGATGCCGGGGCCTCAAAGAGGAGAGCAGTGACCAGCACACTCGGGCGTGAGGCCGAAGGACAGCAGGCCGAGGGGCCAGGCTGCGGCTCTGGAGCAGCGATGTTCAGCTGGTCCGCAAGAAGTTTTAAAACGTGCAATATGTAGTCAAAGGCACTGGCCGCATTTCTTTAGATTGTCAAATAAAAAAAATGACAGCAGCCATACATAATTGCTATCCGGTGTGAATGAATCAAAATTATACCTTTTTTGGTCAGATTGGCAAAAATATATTTTTTGGTGTGCTGCAGAATTTTAGTAATTTATTTATTTGTGCCATCAGTTGAATTTGCTGCTCTATAGGGCTGTGGGTCCCATTTCTTTCATGCAGACCTTTGTAAGTGGCACTCAGTCTCATCAATTCCACTTTCAGTTCACCCACCTGCCACCCAAATTATCTTCTGTGACATGTCCTTCACCTAATCTCAAACTTTTCAGATTCCATGATGTTAAAAAGGTTGCCAAAGCCTATATAACAAAGTTCAACTGTTCGGCACAGTATTCAAGACCGTTCATGATTTGCCCTGGTCTAGCTGTCCGGTCGCATTCCCCTCCTCCCAGCAGTGCCTGTGCTCTGGGCACCGCCCTGCACTGGACGCCGAGTTCCCCCGCCTTGGTCACACTCCTTTCTCAGCCTTTTCTCAAGTTGTTCACTACCTGGATTTCCTACACTCCTTGTTTTCTCCCCTTTAATTAATTAATTTTATTAATCCTCACTCGAGAATATTTTTACATTTATCTTCAGACAGAGTGGGAGGGAGAGAGAGACACACCCAGAGATAAACAGAGATGTGAGAGAGACACATTGATTGGTTGCCACCCGCACGACCTTAACCAGGGCCGGGGATGAACCGCAACCGAAGTACGTACCCTTGGCCAGAATCAAACCTGGGACTCGTTGGTCCACAGGCTGACGCTCTAATCGTTGAGCCAAACCGGCCAGGGTGCCCTCCTCTTCAAAAACTGGTTCAGTTGTCCCTCTTCTTGGAGGCAGCCTCCATCCCAACCCATCAGTAATGGAAGTGGCCTCCTCTGGATTCTCAGTGAGCAATGGGACAGTAGCATATAATCTAGCTTGGCCCAGAAAGTGCAGCTAGACAGGCCTCCCCACCTGACTGAGGGCTCCTTCAAGGCTAAGCCTGGCTCTGGTTCATGTTCCATTCCCCACATTATGAGAGGTACATTTGCCATAAGTTGGCATCGACAAAGAAAGCCTCAAGGGCACCAGGCCAGGGGAGTCTATTGCTGGCCTCAACCAGTGTGCAGCGGGCCTGAGCAGATGTGAAGACCATACATCTCCTGCAATCACCCCAGTGTATCGTGATAATCAACGCTTTCATCTTCTCTTCAGGTCAAAACAGGAAAATCAATGAAGTAACCCCCACACACAGCAGTGAAGCCAGTGTGCAGTCCTCTAAAGAACCTACACTGGCCCTGGCTGGTTTGGCTCAGTGGTTGGAGCATCGGCCTGTGGACCAGAGTCCCGGGTTTGGTTCCCACTAGGGGCACGTACCAAAAAAAAAACCCTACACTGGCAACCAGCAACCAGCACCAGAAGCAAAGATGTTTCATTTCATTGCTCTTGCTCCTGGGCTTGATTCAGTTTAAAAAGCTCCAAACTTGGGGAATAAATCACACACTTTTCAAATACAGTGACTGCTGTGAGCTGGGAGATTCTTCCTAACTGTGAGCAACCACCTGGGTTAGGGCAGAGGTGGAGAAACGTCAACAATTGTCAGAGTTAAAGTTCTTTCACCCTGGTTTATGACATTTCTGAGTTTTCTGTGATGTGGGTCCATGGCCAACACTGTTAACACAGGTGTCAGTAACATGGAAGACTTGCCCTGGAATAAATGGAGAAAGGTTCAAAAGCAGAAACACATATTGTCTGGCACTGACACACCCGGACGATCTATTGAACACAAAATGATCTTGCTGCCCTCTTTACAATTCTTCCGTGGTTTTCAGTGGTCTGTGGGATGTAAAGTCCAAATCCCTCTGCAGGTATTTCAACACTTCGTGTCAGCCTGTGTGTTCAGTCAGCGTGGTGACCCACGAGTCCCCCACTTTACACTCCGGCCAGGTGAACTATTGGATGGAGGATCTCAGCACAGCCCTCCACACGCATACACCTCTGCTCCCGAGCTCCCACGGCACTCTGTGCTGGGCTCCATGGAGGCACGGTCCTGTGCGTATCGCTGTTTGCGTGTCTGCTTCTCCAAGGAGCCTGTGAATTCTTTAAGGGAGGGAGGGAGTCTCCACCTTCGAGTCTCTAGCAATCAGCTGAAGCTCAGTAACTTTTCAACATTGGCGACTGAACCTGCCTTCTGAGATTCCTCGGGTGTCTGTCCTCGGGACTGAGTGATGGAACTGGACGAGTCATAGGTGATGCGGCTGTTTTGGAATGGGAGCTCCCAATCCAGAAAACAGCAGTACAAAAACTACTAAATTCAGGACTCATCCAAATAAATCATTTCTGCAGATTTCATCTTCGGTACTTTTCCTCACAAGCAGGGAAGAAGTAAACTTGACTTCTACAACTGGGTGATGAAATGACTCCCACACAGAGCTATCTCGAGAGTGAATAACTGGTAACAGCAACCCCGTATCTGAAAAGCTTTCAGAGGGAGACATTCCAGAACCTCAAATGCCTTGAAATCCCAATTCCATTATGTCCTACAGGCAGTTTCAGCCTATCTCTACCTTAAATAAATGCATTACCATCCTGTGGTGGGGATTTTAGAATCAATCTCTCTCCTCTTTCAGCCCTCACCCTCCCTGCACAGCCATTGTGACATGGATTAGATTAAACCTCTCGGTGTCTCTGACCTAGCAGCCTTTATGTCCACCGCGAGGGAAAGGGGGAGGGGCCTGGAAGCTTGGAAACCCAGCATGTACTAAGTCGGCCAGCTGCCCTTGGAAGAGATGATTAAATGCTGAGGTACAGTAATCAGGCTGGGATTGTCCCCGCATCTGCTCAGCCTGCCCTGATTAGCCCTAATCTAGAAGGCGTATGTTAATCTAAGCTTGTATTCTGGGTCATTTCAGTTGATTAAGTAACAGGAAGCCCTTCACATTCTACTTGAAGGGCTTGAAGTTCTCCTTTTGATTTTCAGAGAGACCCTGTACAATCCTAGTACTAACACTTGGCATTTGTAGAGCACTTTGAAAGCCTTCTGACACCCACTGCGTATCGTTTGATTTCTGCTAAGGCCCTGGAAAAGGAGGCGGGGCAGGTGTTCTTCCCTTTGACAAATGACAGGCAAGCTCCTCTGGCAGACCCATGGACTTGCCATAAAGGCACACACTTAGAAGTCCTCCAATCTCCTGTACCTGAAAATTCAAGCTATAAGAAACCGGAGTTCATTCTGTTTAGTAAATCCAGTCCCCTTTCTTTTTCTTTAAATGTAAACATAAACAGATAAAAGGCTTATTTAAAGCAAAAATACATAGACTGAGAGAGACTGAGTGGTTATTTCTCTTGGGAGCCTTTCCCTGTGACAGCACGGCCCCACCATAGAACACTGTGGCCAGCAGGGACCTAATGGGGAGGGCTGTCCTCGGGGCTCACTGCTGCCTCTCCTCTCAGGCTCCTTGGGAAGGTTTACAGAACTTGCCAAAATGGAAAAAGAGGCCAAAGGTGACTCAGGAACTTCAGGTCCCACCCAGCACAAGGATTTCCTTGTCAAACAGCAGTCAGACCAAAATCCCTAGAGGGAATGCTGGCTCGGGGACCACATTTCCCTGTAAATGACGAGACCTGACCCTGCTCTAGTTTTCTACCAGTCGGTGTCATTCTTGAGCCCAAATGGTCAAACACTCTCCTCCCACCTCAGCGAGTGCAAGTACATCCTTCCAGGTGCTAAGGCCCAAAACTCTGAAGGCAAGTCATCTTTGACTTCACAAAATGCAATACATCAGCAAATACTGTCCACCCCCTCCCAAATACCGACAAGAGTTCAACCACTTCAACTGCTAACTCCCTAGACGACCTCCTATTGTCTGTTGCCTGGACTATGCCCGGCTTCCTTTGTGGTCACCCTGCTTCAGCTCCTGCCCCACACAGCAGTCAGGGGGGACACATTTCCACACAAGGTGATGGAGATGGGGACATGTTCTAGGAATTCAGACCACTTGCTCACATTAAAGGGCTTGGCTCTGTTATCTGCAAACCAGGAGGCCATGGGGTTCTATCGTGGTCTTTTGTGGTAACTATGGGCGCCAGCAGGAGTCAGTTGAAGGGTTAGGGTCACAGCCTTGCACACTGTGGATTTACCACTCAGGAACTGATCTACTCCATTCATGACCTCTCCGGAGGTAATGCGTTTCCTCACTTACCCACTGTATAATGAACCACCACACACACACACATACTTTTGGTGGCTCTCTACTAAGAGAAAAATAAAGTCCAGATAGCTAATAGTTGAGGGACTGCATTCCCTTTTCCACAAATACCCTACACTAAACCTTCATTTCAACAATGTTTGTCCCTGCAGTGTACCCTCCCCATCACATTTGCTCAGACAGGTCCCTCAGCCTAGAATCATCTCCTGCCAATGTAAGTCCTGTTCTAACAATTTCCACATCTTTCCTGGGGTGCCCCAGACGGAACAGCCCACTGGGCTGTGATTTCACTGCCTCCACCATTCATTTGGCATCAGCTCTGTGCTACCGTTTCCAAGGAGATACTGTTTTTCTCTGTATGAATCTCCTTCTTAGATTGTTGGCAAGAAGTATCTTTGGATACTGAGCAACTTGAACATAGTAGATGCTTAATAATTGAGTATGACAACTGATCACGCTTTCATAATTTTCAGAAACTTGATTATACTCCTACTAGCTGTGGCCTCACACTAAAGAGCCCTGAACTTTTCACTCTGCCCCTGAACAAGG